CTGAAAGGCTAATACCACTATTTCAGCAGTAGAGAATCAGAGACCTATGTACAGAGTTCAGGCATAGAATGATTAGCAGTCACCAGGAAGGATTATAGTGAGGTGGGAAGGTCTTAAAGTCAGGGTTGCATTGAAGCCCCAGGTCCTCACTAAACAGCTAGGTGTGCTACATAGTTTCCTGGTTGGTAAGTGTGGAAGAAACAAAGATAAAGATCTCTTATCTCTTCTCTCTGAACTTACACCTCCTATTCTAGTTGCAGAGAGACACAGAACAAGCCAAAGTCACGCGCAGGAAATAAATAGCTCTTGTGTGCAGAAGGAATCAGCAGTCATCGAGTGCAACTGAGAGAATGAGACAGAACAAGGAGTCGCAGAAATAGGCAGGAATCCCTGTTTCTGGGGCAGCAATGGGAGACAGCGGGAAGAGCCAGGACAGATGTCTCAGGACAGGTCATTTGTAGAGTACTGAGGGGATAAGCCAGAAGATAACTTGGTCAGCTATCAGCTAGACATGGAGCTAGTGCTACCATAAGGTGATCCCGGGTATCACATGTAAAATCCTTAGAATGCTGCCCACTAGTAGATATTTTCTCATTAACATCAGGCACGTGGTACATATTGTCATCAGTACTATTATCTTACTACTTACAGTATCCAGGCAGCTTCTCTAAAGGTTTTGGAACACTTCAAATCCTTAAGTACTCACTCAAGAACCTGTGATGCTGTAACACCAGGCATAGGCAGAGAGGCCTGACACTGGTAAAACCTTGCATTCAAAGCATCTGCATAATTATTTTAATTGGCTACAAATGAGCTTGAAAAAACAGTTTCTAAGTTTAAGGAATTTTACTTTCAAACCACTGACTTTTTTTACATACTGTTTTTTGAAAAAGGCAAATTGTAGCAGGAATAAAATAAGAACTTAAATATTTCTCAATGTAATGAATCAGACCTTCATTCTAGTCTGAATGAAAAGTTTTACCACGAAGATAATAATTGCAATTTTGTTGTAAAACTCTTCTGTATCCACTTTAATTCTGTTTTATAAAATTCTGTCTACCTCTCAGAGTACTAAAATGAAAGTGAAAACATTCTGAGAAGACGACATTGCCATTTTATGTCACATACACAGGACTATGGTATCGCTCTGCACTAAGTGCTCAATAAATCTTTGAATTGGGTAAACTGTCACTTGCTACCTGTATACTTTGAAGGAATTCAACATTAATTACAAATGAGCAAATTTTACTATTATTTTCAGTCAAAAACAATAATAAAAAACCCTTAAATTTGTGTTTTATGCAAAACCAGTTTTTTTTTGTTTGTGACATGAACCTGGTATTTTAATTCTGATAGTTTAGTGTCAAAATACATTGCTCCCATTAGGTTTTGAAAAATTTTTGCCTTAAGAAAGTATGAAATAATCAAAAGGATTGAGTTTCAATTGTTTAGTGGGAGGTAAAGGGAAATAAGATTTAGCAGTAAGTCCAGGCACATGATTTGAAGACCAGGACAAACAAGGGAAGATCCTTTGATGGAAAATAATGTTTTCACAAAAAATAAGGCACTTTTCAGACTAAACTTCTTAACTTAGGGACATCTTAGCAGGAAAGTCACATATGAATTGCCTTAAAGTCATACACAAAGCCAAATAAGAAAACAGAATCGTTCTTTCTCATTATGAGCTATTTTCTGCTTTCCAGTTTCAAAACTGGCAAAAAGGTTTAAGATGCTTGGTTATATGCAAGGGCACCTATGTGGCTCATGCCAAGTGTCCACGTGGAATAGATTTAAAATAAATGCAAGCTCTGGGATTTTCCTGCAATACCACTGAATTCATGAACACGAGGGATCAGAAACAAAGTATAGAAAAAGTTCAATAACCCCACGAAGTCTGTACTGGAAAAGATACTAAGAAGAATCACTTCTGGATATTAGATGTTTTATGTTGTATTTTTATGTCATTGAATCCTGTTAATTTGAAATTTTTATTAGATTAAGGAATATCTAATAGTCAATATTCAGAATTTCGGTCTTGGGGCTGGGGATTTAGCTCAGCGGCACAGCACCTGCCTGGCAAGTGCAAGGTTGTGAGTTCGATTCCCGGTACTGGAAAAAAAACAAAACAAAAAAAAGAATTTTGGTCTTATGCTTGAAATGCAGACACAGAAGAAAAAAAAGTCAATTTAACCAAAGAAAAGAAATAGGAAAAAAATGTAATAAAAGCATGTCTCAAGCATATATCTAGAAGAGTGCAGAGGTAACAGCCTGTTTGAAAAATAGGTTGACTAAACGATTTGTACACAGAGAACAGTTCACGAAAGAGAAAAAGGATGTGAGAAAGCCATCGATGTTTAATGTTGCTGCCTATATAACAAAAGGTTAAAGAATAATTACAATGTTCTGGGCAGATCAGGAGGTTTATTTTATAATAATTCTAGGATAATTAATCATAGCTTTCTGATGGCATGTTAATAATTTTGTAATCAAATGAAAACAACCGCTTAGAGATTAATTGGAAAAAAGTAATAAAAAGAAAATTTGACCCAGCAGAAAATGCTTTATGGAATAATGAAAACCTTTAAAAGGGATGATTGCTTCACCATTTTTTTTTTTAAAATAAGACTTTGTTAAAATTGGTACCTGTCTACATCATTTTAAACTATGCCTAGTTAGGAAGATGCAAAAAGATATTTGTGCGTAATCAACATAAGCCTAAAAAGATAAGAAAGTCTCTGCATTTGATTTCTTTTTTATCTTAGAATTTATTTTAGAATAAAATAAAGTGGATATTTTTCTTTGAAATAAATTAGTCTTACAACATTCTGTAATTATTTTTTTCTTTCAGCTAAATAAAAATAGCAATTATCAATAAATATTGATCTTCAAGATATATCTTTTTCCGGGCCCTATTGATATAAATTGTCAAAGAATAATATGCACAACAATATCAACATTTTATAATACGTCAAAATTACATAACCCTAAGAAGTCAAATTATTTTTAATTAAAAGCTTTCTTACCCACAAGCAAATATCTAGTTGCAATGTTTAATTAAAAAGTTACCTATGAGAAATAGTTAAAAGGTAAGAAGGCAGCCCTACTATCATCCTATGTTTTCTAGTATGGATTTATTGGTATATTTGGGCACAGACGGGGGTAAATATATAATTTAACATTCTTATATCATTCCTAGTACAAGCAATTTTCAATAATTTGCTGGAATTCAACACAGTCTCTCAAATTTGTGTTAAGTTCTTGCTACATTTCCACATTTCATTTTTCTTTCATTTGGCAAATCTTAACTTAGTTAATTGAAGACTAGTGAGGTAATACTGGGTGGGTGAGATTAAATCCAGGACAAAACTTGTGAAGTTTAATGCCTGAGGTAAGAAAGAAAAATGTCTTCCAAGAATAATATCATTTAGCTTCTGAACAATATATACAGATGAGTATAAAATACTTTTAAAGAAGAGTAAAATACATTAGCCAAAGACATTTCTGCATGACTAATGTCCCTTCATTCCATTCAACAAAATGATATAGTAACAATTTCATGCATTAAAAACTTGCTTAGAAATTTTTTAACCTCTCATTATCTTCAGGGGAACTCCATTAGCCTTTCAGATGAAAAAATTTTATGGCAGAACTGGGGTAAGCACCTTATCTTCCATAAAGTAGGAACCAGTTGGACATTTTCCCCAGACTTCAAAGAGAAACAGCAAGTGGACCCAGAGCCGGCCCTGACGTCAGGCTGGGCTTAACCTTCCTCAACCAATACAGCTGTCTCGCAACTAGGAATTCTAAAATCCAAAGTAAGAAATGGATTTTAACGTGTTCTTTAGAAAACTATGAACAGTCTTGAATAAGAGTTTACAAGAGAGAGAATACTCAGAGTAACTAGTAATGTTTAATAAAAATACACTGTTACTTCTGTGATTTCAGGGTACAGCCACAAATCTTTTCAAAACACAATATACTGGATATTGAAAAGAATCCTAATTCTTTATACTTATGAGTTGATTACTCCGTGAAAAGTCAACAGTGAGCAGAAAGCTAATAAAATCAACATGAATAGATTGATTTCCTGACTGTTTTCGGAACTCACAGCACATTTTCACTTTTTTGTCAGATTTAAATAGTCCCATGAATACTTTCACCAACTTTTCTATAATGGCTTAACAATATCAAATTAAACTTTCCAATGGAGAAGTCTCACTAAGGAACATTCTGTTTCACAATGGTTTAGAAAAAAATATGTAAATATAAAAATATGTCTGTTATGAGAATAGAACATTCTTATTTATTTACTGATATTTTATTTTTAAGGAGGTTTATTATGCTTAGCTCAATTTCATCAAACACTTCTACAAATTGTCTTTTTGGGGACTATGTGTCTTAGTATGCAAAAGAGAAAAATAGTGATATAACACACACATATTCAAGTATCTTTCAGCATAGAAATTCACTTTAAGACAGTATAAGCCATGATTGATGAACTCTAGTTGAAAACATTCAGGAGCTGAAAATAAAAACAATCACTGAAAAGTTTGGTTATTTCTCAAACTGTTTAGCTGTCAGAATGCCTGCTTTGTAGAATCAGTAGACCGATTCCTCAAACATCTGCTAGGCACAAACTTAGGTCTTGCTAAGCTCTAAATAAAATTGAAGTAGGCAGTGACGTAGGTCTTTGCGAGGAGACCTATCTGGATTAAACATACAGTATATCAGAAGAAGCAGTGTGATTCTATTAGCAGAATAAACAAGAGCACTTTAATCCTACTATTGTGACAACAGCAGACCTGAAAAAGGGAAATTATGTGCTGCAGAATTAGTGCTTCTTTGGTCAAGATAAGGCTTGACAAATCCATCCCACATTGAAGTTATCTAGACACACTACGTGCCTGATTTGTTTGGGGATGTGTTTAACAACGACACGGTCAGATCAAGGTGAGGAAGAAATCCGCTGAAAAGTTGAGAATCACAGCTGCCTCTCTTACCTTCCGCTCAGGAGGAAGCCGATAACCACTGCCAGCAAAATGATTCCCACCGTCACCGACACAGCAATTATAGGAATCTGGCTCTGATCGCTGGACGCTGCAACTGCTGATGGGAGGCACAGAAAGTGGAGCTTGGGGTTAACATGATCACATGCACTCAAAAGAAGGCTGTCTGATAGTCAGTAATCAATTCATACTTAAAGTAATTTGCTCATGTTTGGCCGAGATTTCTCCCTAGGATCTCCTCCCCAAAACACGTAATTGAAAAAGTATCTTCGGGAGAAAACACTATCCAAATAGAAATTCGAAAACATCACTGTCCCTGATTATTTCCTCGTTATGATAGAAATTTAATGTGTACTGTTTTCATAGCAGTCATCTGGGAGCCTGAGGTGTACAGATAAAGCACAACACCCTCACTGACTTTAAACACCTGCATCTAACGAGGAGCCGGTTAAGTAGATGAGGTCTGACATCTTTAGAGTTCGTACATCCTTCTTCTCTAGAAAAAAAATCTGATTAACTCAGAGAATTCTTTCCCCCAAGGACATATAGTCCAAAATAGGGTAACTAAAAACTCATAGATGTTAAATACAATTTCACTAGTCCAAATATACTTTGAAAGTACAACACAATTCCAAGTTGAATATAATCAGTATGTACACTTTTTAAATAGTATCACTGTTTGAAAATTATCAAGGCATAAGTTTCAACTTCCAGAAACCTACAATATGATTAGATTTTCTCATATGACTTCTTTATTGCATGGATTTCAATGAAATATTTTATATTTTATCAATAAAATTGCTACAAAGATGATAATAACTTAATTATGGACATCATTACATGAATGTACCGAAATAAGCAAGAAAATTTTTCCTTCGTGCTGATAACTAAGATACATTTGGGCTAAGAAATATATAGAGAAAACAAATTTCTCTCTGGTTCTCAAAAAGTTTTCATAAGGTACCTGCTGTGCTTCTTCTTTAATGGCATATGCATTTTGATAATTTCAGAGCAGTACAATTTCACCTCCATGATAAGAAGTTAAAGTCATCAGAGCTAATAACAACCATAGTGGGTTTTCTTCTATGTTTGTTTTTGTTTTGTTTGTTTAGTTGTTTTTTTCCACCACTTACCAGATTTTGGTCCAATTATAGCTTTAGGCTTTACAACATTTCCCTTGCTATTCTAATCATCTTACCCTGGAAACCTTTTGTTCTAAACTGAATAACTTTCGACAACTTCCTTGGCCTGCTGTACATGTCAACATTTCAAACAGGCCTCGAGAATACAGGATCAACAGCAGTCTGAGTAGGACTCTTACAGCGTAAATCCATGTTCTTACTGTCTCTTTGGATTGATGAGGGTTGTAATTTTGTGGTTCATTACTGTAATTTCTCTTTTTCTCTGTGCAGAGGTCCATGATAAGAAATTTGGTTCCAGGAGCAATATAAATGAGAGCAAAAACTATCCCATGATCACTCGCAGCGTTGCCCAAGATTTGCTTTCTTCCTCTAAACTAAAATCGATTATATCATTGCTCTTTTCAGCGACCCGCCCACCCCCCACTGAAAATCATGTAGACCTGATTCAACATCATGTAAGTTCAGTATTATTTCCAGTGCACTGCCATAGCTGTTTGAATGCCTGTGGATTTTTCAGTAATTTCCAAGCAAAATCATTCTCATAATAAACCTTTCTCATTTTTTAGTGTATTAATCCATTTCCAATTTATACGTTTTAGAAATACTAAACTTTATAGCTGAAAGTGAGTGGTCACCTTAGCCCCCATGATTAATCCTACCTGCATAACCTCCTTTTGCTTTAATAACTCCATGTGAAACTCTCATTTCTCTTCTAACATCTTGTTCCTTCAAGTCCTCCCTGCAGCAAGGGCTTCTATGCTCCTATAGGCTGTTTTCTGCCCTATGTACAAGCCTGAGAGGATATCTCTTATTGGGAAAAATAAATCCTTATATCTAAACTCATTGGCCTTCAACCTGAATTTGAAAATAAAATGTCCAACACATATTAGACACATGGGCCAAGGAAATTATTCTATCATTTAAAAAGTTACTTCCTTAACTCCCAAACAAAAAGAAATTCCCAGTGTCATTAACTTTTGGTAAAATTATAGATACTAAAAACAAAGTAGTTAGCATAGTGCTTTAATCACTGACAGTCTTAAGTAAATAGATATCACTGCTATTTACTATGTCTTGCTTAATTTATCATTCTGTTTATTTGGTATGTGTCAGTATATTGGTTCATGTTTGAAGAGTCAACATTATTAAATTCACTCTACCATTTTTCTTCTCCCATTGAGTTTTATGCATGATATCTATTAAATGCAATAAATATTGCATTTATCTTGCAAAGGATTATGATAAAGAACTTGATAAAAAATAAGAACCTATTTTCTTGTCTATTTGGATTTTATTGATACATAAAAATATGCATGTTTAATATTGACCCTTATGCACATCTATCCCCTAGGGCATGACAAAAAGCAGGTCAACAAATAATCATACCACAAATTAAACCAACAAATGAATTAGTTCTATCTCTAGTTTAATGGTCACTGAATCATTCTTAACCTGTACTTGATCATTGTTTAATAAGTATTTTTTGTGTTTTTTTGTTTTTCTTTATATATCACTTCTTTCTTTCCTTTGCACACTTATCTGATTCAAGTTTCTATGGTCAAAGTGCTGGAATGTAGTCACAGTGTTCTAAGGGTTCTCTCTGTTTTTTATGCACTCACATTAAACACCTAAAAATACGACTTTATTTTTCCCTGACCAAAAACTCACCAGAATCTTACTACCTATGGAAAAGATTTCCAAGTACCCTTATTGTGAAGTGAACAACTACTGAGAAAAATATTTTTAAAAATATGTTCAAGGTAATTTTGAAATAATGTTCTATCTTTACTCATTGGAATGACAGAATAGACTTTGTTAGTAATAATGACCTGTTAAAGCTAGTATTCTTAACTGTCACCACCAAAAATACAATACTGATAACTTTAACAGAAAGGACAAATACATTTAAAATACTATAATTCTTGTGTTAGAGTATTTGGAGACCTTGTCAGGAAAATAATATGTCAAGAATTAAATTGTGATATCATGTAAATAATGGCAGAATGAAATTATTAAAATGATTCTACAAAAAAGCATATAAAGTATGGTCATATAAAATGCAAACACAAAGTCTCCAAAGTTGTAAAAAGTGTTTATCATGCTGTTCATCTTCTTTGATTCCCTATTAGCCCTGAGGAAGGAGAGATGCAGGCCTTGCAAACAAGCCACAGGCAGGATGTTGAGCAGAAAAGTCTTTTGGATAATACAGACTAGATAAAACAAAATCATCACCCTAAGATAGTTTCTGAAATGAATATTTTGCCCATTATGAGTAAACAGAGTATATTTTTTTTGCCTGGTGTTACTCATGTTGATTGGTCCAACGCATAATATGTACAGTGATTAGTGTTGATACATTCTTATGGAATTATATCCAGAAAGGATTGCACATAAAGATGAAAGAGGAATGATATGTAATAGATACTTTCTAAAAAGTACAAATGTCTTCAAGTTCTTGCAAGTATATGTATACACTCAAATATGTATACACTCAAAGATTTGACATTAATAGGTAGGAGGCAGAACATCCCTAAAATATTTACCCATTAGTAATAACAATAAGGTCTAGTTTTGGAGGAAAAATGTTTGGTGAGATTTCTTTTCCTCTACAAGTGATTTAAGAAAAACATTTTAAAAATTACATATTCTCAGGTGAAAATGCACAAGTATAAATGACAAATGACCTGTGCATTAGTGCTCCTAGTGGTGTGATTGATGAATTTTTGGTATGCCTGAAAACTGATAATTAATAAAAAGTAGACGATAAGTATTGAAATCCGAAGGAAAACTAGTTGCTAAACATGCCAATGTCCTAAACCTGAACACAATTTATTATAAAATGAGAATTTATATTTGTATAGTTGTCAAAGCACTCAAGCAAATTTTGACATTATAGCTTTGCTCCCAGAGTTGGTAGAATACATAAGTAGTGTACATAGCTAATACCTAAATAGAATTAAGGATGATTAAAATGGCCAATTTACATAACAAATATTGGTCATAAATCCTTTTCCACTGAGAGTATGAGGATACATAATCCATTGCCAATATTGGGAGAATCTTCTGACTAATTATATCTATTTCATAAAATCTAATAGAACACTTTTCTGAAAATTAAGCATTAGACATTCAAATTTCAATCATTCCATTTAGACTTCACGAGTGGAATTTTTTTTCCTTTCAAAGAAAAAATAGTTTATCATTTTCCACAATGATACACTATCTGTGCAAAATCCAGTAGAGTAACACTTAGGAAACTATTTTTAAAATAATAAAAAATTACTTCTAGACAATTCAGTTAAACCTGCTGTAAAAAGAATTATACTTTGTTTTCTAAATGGCTCAATGTATTGAAATCTTAATTTAATCCCTATTTTAATAATTACAAAGATGATCTAACTACTGAGCTCTCATTTTATAGATCACTCTTTAAAGCAAACATGTAATTTATTTCCTTTATTTAAAATCACAAATTCTTAGGCTAGGCATAGTAGTGCAACCCATAATCCCAGAACTCAGTAGGCTGAGGTAGGAGGATCACCAAGAGCTTGAGGTCTCACAGTGACACCATCTCAAAACACCAAAATAAATAATAAGGGGCTGGGGATTTAGCTCAGCGGCAAAGCGCCTGCCTGGCAAGCGCAAGGTCGTGAGTTCGGTTCCCGGTACCGGAGAAAAACCAAAAAAAAAAAAAAACAAAACAAAACAAAATAAATAATAAGTAAAATCATCAAGTCTTACATAACTTGGCCTTACAGACTACGTTCACATATACAAATACACACACACAGACACACAACTTTATGTTTCACTCTTAAGTCTGATTTGCTCTTTAGCAGAACTTTAATAGATTCAGTAATTCCACCTGTTACTAAGTCAGGCAACAGTTTTCTTGGAAACCTGTCTTCAGTGTGTTTACTTTAGAACAAAGAAGTCACCTAAATTATCGGTGTTAATGATGACAAGGTTTTATGCACTATTATGGAAACAAAGAGTCCCCAAAGGATATCTGAGAAGGACTTCCCAATCCTTGACGCAAAGATACTGCCACAGGTTTAACTTTTTAAAGAAATAAGATTGGTTTGGGAGAACACCATTTTCTTGTCAAATGCAATGCTAAGGAAAGCTCCCAGGGAATTTTTATAGAAAGACTGAAGTAGCATAGTTCAATGAAACAAGTAAAAGGTAAATGGCAATAATTCAATAAAGCATGGCACACAGAAACAAAGCCTTTATAAGCGAGGTGGAAACCTTGATGAAGGATCTTCGGATGCAGGCGTTCGGGGAGGATCACAGGAGACAGGAGCAGGCCTGCAGTTACCCTGCCAACCTCCCTCAGAGCCCGGCAGAGGCTCTCCCCAGGGTCAGCCCTGGAGGGAGAAGGCGGGCCTGACAGAGCTCCCAAGGAGGCTATTGATCGCCAGTAACCACCGCACAGACATGAGCTGACAGTAATTAAAATAACTTACACACTGGGGTGGTTTCAAACTCAAATCTTCGACTGAAGACACCGTAGCCCGCTGCTGTTCGTGCTCGAATTTGGAAGACATACACTGAAGCTGGCTTCAAGCCCTCTGCGGTGATAGTGGTCTCTTTCGATTTGATAATGGTGTAGCTGGTCTCCTGATCCTGGGTCGCACAGGTACAGACAATAAAAGAAATCCCCGTATGAATTACTAATCATCGTAGCGTTTAGAAGCAGAGATTAGAAAGGGAAGCTGAAACCAAAGGACTTGCTATTGGCACAAATATGTTTTGGAAAACAATCCTCCAAGGGTGCTCTGTGTATTATCTTCAACTGTAGAATTCAAGGTTTGGGGTGACAAGCTGTCAATTCATCCACCATTCTGATCTTTGGCAAAAATAAGTTGGTAAAACACTTACAATATAATTTTTCAGGAAATTGATTATTGTACAGGCTCATTTTATTATCATGATTTGTATGCTGGATTTTCTCAGAAATATTTTATTACAGCATCCATACCATGCTACCTATTCCTGGAAAACATTGACGATACCTCATAATCTTCTGGGTTAGACTTAAGCTTTAAGCCATCAGTGAACCAGACTTTAATTATAATTAGAATTTGGAAGAAGAAGTTGATACTTTCCCGGAAAACTTTAATTTTGATGTACTCAATCTAAACAGGAACTATTAAAGAAAAATGCAAATAAGTAATACTAATTTTTTCTTTTAAAATTTCCTACTGTGGGAGCAGGGCTAAGAAGGTATGAATGGAGACCGAAGAGAAAGTTCATTGCCAAGAAATAAGTTTGGAAACTGAAACAAGTAGGACCTGCTGTTCTCTGCAGTGACCACCCTGACTTTCGTGTGGATACTGAAATTGTAGGTTAAAACATAGCAAGACTGTTTTTATGTTGGTATTGGCTTTTCCTATCTCATAATATGCAGTAGAAACTGTTGCCTGAATGTCCTCACAGAAATGTGAGAATGAAACAACTAATGTGTGTGAACATATTTAATGAACTAAAACGCATGTTTTAATTTCCAATGTTATTGTTTTAATTTTCTCTCAATTCTTCTTAATTTATATGCCCAAGTTAAGTTCTTCTAACCACTTTGTATTCTACCAGCAATACTACCTAAAACATACAGCCTAAAGCATTCTTCTTTTAAAATAATCTCCCATGCCCCTTTTACTATGTTTAAATATGTTACCTTTGAGTGAAGTACATCTAAATTGCACTCCAAATAGTAATGGTCTAATCTGTAATAGGTATAGTATTTCAATCATTCTAGACAAATGGCTGATCTTTAGTTTTTGATGCACAGATTAATGTGTCTAATCTTTAAGGAATTTGGGAAATTTTATGAGTGTTTTACAAGGGATTTAAAATAGGTAGTTAAATCCTACAAAGTGTTACCACGCGATATCAAGTTCTTCACCCACAAAAAATGCATTGTTCCTCTAGCTAGTACTCTGTGTCCTCTTCTTGGTCTATAACAGAGGTAAAAAGCAGATAATCCACCAACATGTTCTTTTTAAATAATGTACACATACACTTTTCAAACAGTGCTTAGGTTTTCGCTCAATAAAATGTTATTTACTATTTCTCAACATGACTGAGAATAGGTAACATAAGTAATAGGTAACAGCGGTAAGAAATGAATATCTGTTCAATAATATTTCTATCTGTTTAAAGAGAATTCAAGATGATGAAAAATTGTACTCAGAAATAAAAGTGAGATTCTAGTATATTTGATATAGTTGTTAGTTTTACATAAAGTATTAACATTTATAAAATAAAGTAGAAAGGATTAAAAAAAAGAACCACAGGGGTAACAGAAACAGCATTAGAATTCTGGCCATATCATTAAGTATATGTGTAAAGGTTGGTACAAAACTCACGACCTTAGTACTTTTTTCCTTAAAGTAGTTATGAAACTATCAAAGAACTGAGAGGAGACAAGCTAGAGATAGTACATGTCACAGCTAGTACAATCTCCACAGTGTAATAGATCCCAGGCAAATTTGATTTTTTTGCTATTTCCTAGGATCATGGCACAGTTTCCAATGGAATGGAAAAAAAAAAAAAAAACTATAACAAGTTTGAAAAGTTTAAATGGTTGTAAATCTTTACTATTAAAAATGTAGTGTATACATTATGCAAAAATACTACAAATTATTGCTTCTGCCAAAAAGAAAAATTACCAAGGAAGTCAGAGTGCTGACCCATGAAATAATGTGTGACCTAATAGCAATCCCACAAAAAGGCAGAGTTTGGTCTGACTTTAAGTATTCACGTCCTGCCTCACTGATTACCCAAGTCTAATTGCACATCGCCTTGCCTAGTTAGCTGAACACTGTATTATTAAAGAGAATTTAACTAAGCACGTATCTAACAAAACCAATATATATATTGTGAACAGTAGAAGTATCTCCTAAAATCTGTTTCTTTCCCACCCCTTTCAATCACTCTCTTGTTGTCATTTTCTTCATGTCACAAGCCCTATGTGCACCTCTTCAACGCCCACAGCCACCGGCTGCCAAATCTCGGTCAGGGCAGTGGCTTTTGCTCTTTCTTGCCCCCGTTGAGCAAATGAGCTACATTCCCCAGCTGCTTAGCAAACACTGCTCCTGTGGAGGCAGAGAGGGCCCAGCCGAATAGCCAGCTGGCAACCCCTGCCAAGGGGCAGCTTCCCTTCTCCTCGGCCTTTAATTAAGAGATGGCCAGAGGCCCATCCCCTCGCTGGAGCAGGACACCCGTGACCTCTATTAGAATGGATCACTCACAGGCAGGAGTGCCAGCTGGCAAACGCATGAGCCTGCAAGCTCTGCCACCTGTGTCTGGCCGCGAGCCAGCCAGTAAGTGTGGTGTCATCCTGCGTGCTCTAAACAGCTCAGGAGACCTATCAAGGCTGCGCCTCAATATGTGCTATAAAAGCTCATTATCCTCCCCCCGAAAAAAGTGGTATAAAAAACTCTCTGTACGTCATATAGGAATGTGATACTTTGTCTTGGCAACAACCCCTGGGAATTAACATCTGCATTGTAAAACAGGAAAACACTAACAAAGAATTTAATGTCTATCAAAATAATTTGTGACAAATATTTTGCTGCTCTTAAAGCTTGAATGTACCAACTTGCTACTCATTTATTGAGGACATTAATGGGTACTTTTGTCCCCGGATCATTTTTCTTACTCTCAGTTACAGAAATTGCAAATTTATTAATGCTGCATTAAACATAAGCAATTAAATATAAGACTAAATCATGTTGATATGAATGTAATTCAAAAAGAAATCGATCCATGCAGAGACTCACTCCAGGACAGCACAGATAAAATGCAGTGGAGGAAATGATAAGGCAAGGAATCTGCCACCCTACTTGTTTAGTAACTGCTGAAACGGAAGCAGCAATTTAAAAAACGGTCCTTGTTCCCACTGAATATTATGCAAATGTTGGGGAGAAGTAGTAAAAGTGATCTGAGTTGTTTTGCTTTTTAGTTTTTTTGCCTTTTCTGTAGACAGGGTCTCACTCTGCAGTTCAGGCTGGCCTTGAGCTCACTTTGTAGCCCAGCAACGATCCTCCTGCCTCAGTCTCCCGAGTGCTGGGATTACAGGCATGCGCCACCACGCCTGGCATTTTTTGTTATTGTTTTTTTTTTTTTTTTCTGAGTTAATAATAAGGCAAAAAAATGATGATTTTATTAATGATGAAAAGAAAGCCATTCATCGTTCCAGCTATTGACTGAACAGAATAAAAACAGTACAGGTTAATAATTACTTTTAAACTTTTAGTTTCCTGCTGTTAAACTTTACTTCACCTAAGATACATCCATACATGCAAATACAGTTTGATGTATTTAGGTGGTTTAAAATTCCACACACTTCAGCTTCTTTTAACATCAACTTTAATTACAAGAAAAATGTGGATAGTTACAATGGTTGTGGTAGAATTTAACATGTGTTCACCTATATATGTATATAAATTATTTATAATTTCTACATATTTTTACATTAGTGTAGAACAATATAGGTTATCAAAACTTAAAGGATGGAAAATTTAGTCTTACAAGTTATTCTTACATTAGTATGTATTTGCACTGCACACCACTGGAATTTGCATGCTGCTTTGATTGTTAACCCTAGAAATCAGCAGTATCAGTGCTACTCCTGTACACTCTATGGGATTCGCCCCACCTTTGTTGACAATAAACTCTGCAAGCATTATGCCTATGTGAGCCTATCTCCAAGGAGTTCACTTCCATAATTCCTGTGGATAATGTAGTTGACAAGGTGTTTTTATGATGCATCTCTTAAGTTTCATCATTTATGCTCCCTAGTGATCTAACGGTTCTAGACAATGCTACCATGAACTCATTCCTAGAAAGAGAATGATCTCTGTGAAAACAACAGATTGTTATCATCTATTAATAAAAGCCGTTCAAGAACATCATTGAGATATTCAAAATTTAGAAATAGTATTGCATAGCTCTTTTGCTGCCTCACACTGCTGTTTTATACTTTGTTGTATCTTTACAGTTAACGGTTGAGTTAATGAATATGAAAAGCCATTATTTAAAAATATCCCTATAGCATTAGGAGAAATTCACATGTGATATATTTACCTAACCTCTTTTATCTATCTATCTATCTAGTAATCTATCTATCATCTATCTATCATCTGTCATCTATCTATCTATCTATCTATCTATCTATCTATCTATCTTGCCAGCTAGCTAGCTATGGTATCAATGATCTTAAAATTTAAGTCATCTCCATTAATAGGACATGAGCATTTTCCATGGTGATAAATGGAAAAAGCACTTATTCCTCTTTTTTCCATGTGCTGCTCAGACAGTTTCTTAGGCCCCATGATGGGTAAGGTGGGCGAGCAGCCTGATTTGATTGGGAGCCGCCTGGGGCCTGGTAAGACCCCTTGCTGGGGGCAGCTGTGGGTCTTGGAGGTGTCCGCACCGGCCCTGAGCTGCTTCATCTCTGGTGCTACTCCGTCTCCTGCAGACCGTGAGCCAAGCAAGCAGCTTTCTTCTCCCAAACCCTTCTTCCCTGGAGTCAGCTAAACATGGACAGAGTCCTCTGAAACGATGAAACGAATTCATCTCTCTTCCTTTAACTTTTAGTTTCCCAGCAATGGATAAGCTGACTAGTACAGGTATTGTAGAGTAAGTGTTTGCATTGTCTGTTACGCTTTTTATACTTCCCTAAAAGAGAAGGGGCGATGCTTTTGTGAATTTGAGAAACAACCGAGTAAGCAAGGCTCAGTCCTCTATGTGAACCTGCCTGTGTGCATTAGACTGTGTTCCTACTTCCTTAAGACCTACCTACCCTGGCCAAGGTCTCCAGCCCACCTCTTCTAGGCTGGCTTGGAACCCGTCGAGCTTCTTTGTTACTAGAACTCAGGCTGTCCTAAGAAGTGTATGCCACTCACAGACAGACTGTACAAGCTTCCAGCCGAGTAGAGCTGGGTGGGAAAGCAGACGCAGAGGCTGTATACTTCAGCAACATATTCCAGTGCAGTTTATAAGCGAAGAGCTCATCGTTACCTTCCATTTATGTGACTCCACTAAAAACAGTTTACTTGATTGTGGATTCAAAAAAGGGATGACTGCTACTTCTAGATCTCTTCAGTTTTTATGATAAAATGTTTTAAAATAACATTATGTTAGATACTTGCTATAGAAATTTGAAAATGTGTGCTATATATGTGTCTTATCTGACCACACTTCTTTAACAGTACAGGCGCTGTGGCAAGTTACTGGCCAAAAACACGCGAGGCTGTCCTCGTAGCACACAGCAGACGCTGAAGAAAAACAGCTGAAGTCCGGGTGGACTTGGAAAGCGTTCTACGACTTCATCCTTGGAGGCTGTGAAAACCAGGTAAGCCGGCGCTGACTACGCGGCAGGATCCAGGAGGGGAAACGCTGGGGCCGAGGGTCCCCGTGCACATCCGCCCTCCACGCTCGGAACCCAGAGCCAGCTGTCACTGGTTTGTACATAAAAGTGCAATATGCACTTGTACAAACTGGGTAACTGCAGTTGCTAAAATGAAAAAGAAAAAAAAAAAAAAAAAAAAAAGAACAAAGACTTGTTTTATTCTGTTCGTCCCACCTTTTCAAAGTACTTGATTTCATATTCCAGGATTATTCCGTTGGGACGATCCGGCTCTTGCCAAGATAAAGAGATGCTGTTTTTGGCAATCTTCCCCTTTTTCACATTGGTGACTGGAGAGGGGGCTATAAAACAGCACAAATAGAGAGAAGCATGATTAGTGAAGCCCTGAGATTACACCTTATTCTGTGTGTTCCCTGTATTGGCATTTTTAGGCTGTTATATAATAAGAATTCCAAATAGTTAAATATTCTTTCAATCCAACAGGAATTGTATCTTAAACAAATTGGTAGAGATTAAGACCTGTGTTACAACTATAAATTGGCTAACCATCTTGAGATTTTTTTAAATTAATCAGTGTTAACAAAATTTTAGGTATTCATGCACTCTACAATGTTTAGAAATATAGACAATTTATTTACCCTTCTACAGAAAAAAGGCATTTTCGATGACATCTTCTGTTTGTACAATTCATGAACTTCGCGATGTGTCCCCTTATGGGAATAGATGCATGATTATCCTCACTGTGACATTTCTGCCATACTCAGGCTCTTTATTGTGTTTATTACTTTTAACTGAATTCACTCCAACACATGTATCTGTTACATAGTCAAGTTTTCCTTAAAATATGTTGTTAAATATGTGAATTTCTTGAAATCAAATAGAAGGAAAGTTTTCCTTGATTTTAACTTCCCCAAATTATTTTATTAGAAGTTACTGACGGTGCTCCCTGCTATCTGCTATAGTGTCTATTAGATGATAATTTACAAAAAAAATAGAAAAATTATATATGCTACTTCAGATAAATCTGAGTACTTAAATTCACAAAACATCTAGATATTGAATCATTATCTATTTTTATCAGTTGGCTGAGATTCCCGTGGACTCACTGTGTTTATTGATATAAAGAGTTAACTAATAGCTTTCCTAATGCAATGACCTATATTTTTAGAGGCTTGGGCTTTCATAAAAGGTGTAGGCAAGAATGTCATCAGCTGACTGATATGTGTGTGCACCGTACGTGGTATCTCTCAGCATCATGGTTAGGGTTCAGATCAAGTGTCTTCCAAGGCCCGTGTGTGCAGAATTGGAACTATTGGAAGGTGACTACAAAGGAAGGGGTGCAGTATTCATCACACAATAGTGACAAGAAAATCATCTGCACATGTTTTATGCATGCAAAAGATATTTTTAATCACTTTGAATGTGATTGAAAGCACAGACGCAGAACCTTCTGATGCACAGCAAAGACTGTCTGTGTTCAGGTGTGTTTGTGGACAGAAATAGAGACAGACATAGACAGACAGACAGCTATTTTATCATGGAAATGATGTCAACCACGAGTCGTGTAATCATCGGAGGCACAGCTTTATCTGAGTAGCAACAGACACCTGGCAAGCTTAAATTATAGCTCTTTTGATTCCTAGCATTGTCCAGACAAAGCAATGTATTCTCGTTTGTCATGTTTAATTTTTCTCTTACTTTCAGAAAATGCACTCAAACTACTGACAGCACTTTTGACAACAGACTGCAAGGACAGTGTTTAGCGGAACAAGATCTTTATGTCAGACTAAAGAGCGGTGTGTTCCTGCAGAGACTGTTTTAAAGCAGAAGGAAGATCCTGTCGGTCTCCCTGGAGCCCTCGAGTGCCTGCACCTTAGCTTGAGCGGGAACCCAGATGTGCCCTGCACGTAAGGACCGCCGCTGTCCAGCCGCTGCATCTTCCCAGTCCCACCTCCTGCGGCTGTCTGTCCCGGCTCTGCTGCGGGCTTCTGTGGCCCTGCACACCAGTCCCACTCCACACAGTGCTCACTCCACTCGGGAGTGCTGCCCGCGTCTCCAGGGTACGCCCCTTCCTCTCCTAGTTCCGTGGAGTGGCCTCAGCGTGCATGCCACCCACCTTAGGAGTCAACCAGCCCTCGCCCCTCTCCCCTCGAAGGTCCTTTTGCTCCTTTCGTTCCTTCCTTTTCTTTGTAGCTCTCACACCTCACCACCTGACTCACTGCATATCTATATCATAGTTTTGATTTTCACAATCCTTTCAAATATAATGCAAGTGTGATAAGAGCAGGAGATTGTTTCTGTTGCTCACCACTGCATGTTCGGCGTCTAGAACAGTGCCTGAGACAGAGCAAGGGCCAGTGAATCTATGCAGAACGAATGACCGGTGGTGGCAACTCTAGGTAAGAAGTCCAACTTTTTTTTTTTTTTTTAAATTTTTGATCAGTGACAACTTCAACAGTGAAACTCAGAGTGGAGAACGTCTTTTAATAAAATTTCCCCAGAATGAATAAACTCATTATATATTGCAAACATATACCAATAAAAATAATAAAATTGAAATATCGGTAGATATAATCTATAAGGTATCAATGGATGTTAAGAATCTTATGTTTTGTGTACCCATAAACGAATGATCATATATTGGGGTGTACTTTTCATCCTTTGAATGCAGAGTGTGTGATATTTGGGTACAGAGCATGCATAGCCTCAATCTATTTGTTCTTAATTAAACATATCAGTTTAGTTCCACAAAGTTTTCTGGACTGTTACAAAATATGTAATGTGCACACAAAGCCGGAATTGTCTAAAGGTAATACTGAGATTGCTCACTTCCATGGAAACTGACTGGCAGTTCTTACAGTAACGTTTTGGTACGGGCTCAGGGTTCTTATTGATTTCCAAGGAGAGAAGAATTCGTGCCACATTCAGCCTTGTGAACAAAGCATTCAGAAAACATGGTGACAGTCAGAATAAACCGTGGGCAGCCTAGTTCACTGAGGCATTTGCAGTAAAATAGCAAATTAACTGAAGCCGTAACAGGATTATGATTTTTATATGTTTGTACAAGTGATTATATTTATGAAGTATCTTACTTTCCTATATCACTAGTCATTGAATTATACATTAGTAAAAATCTAGATAAAAACTGACATCTTCAAAGTTCTTCTCTTACTAATATCCCTTCAGACTGGTATGTTTCAAATTATCACATTTGTATTCATAAATTATATGCAGCATGTAAGCTCCATGGAGGCAGGAGTTGATTTGGATGAGTTCGCTGTTTTATTTCCAGGGCAAGATAATGACATAACATCTATAAATTTAATAAATAATCATTGAACAGATGGCTAGAGGGAGGGAGGAATGCACGACACACAAATATCAAGTACTTTTCAAAACCGAGCTTATCTCATCTTCGCTGCACGTGTTAAAATAATATCAATTTAGGGTTTATGGCATTATTTTGTTTTAATAAAATAATCAACTACTTCAAAGTGAAACTATCAAAGAGGCATCAGTACAGACACAACTTGCCTAAGGTAGAGTATTTCGTGATTCACTCTCATCCATCACAGCTAAGCCTGAACTACACAGCTTCCAAAGGCTGAGTTGGCAAACGCCATTGTTTTTCAACTTCAGTTTTCTCAGAGGCTAAAAATGTTCTGTGAGGTAATGGCTCAGAAAGGGGGAAGAAGATCACCCCAAGCTCAGAGTGGTTCAGGGGTATTTCCTCTGCGATGGGAGGTTGCCGGCATCTCTATGCACAGCTGAGCAAAGGGAGACCCAATGGTGCTGCAGTACCTGAGCGGAAACCACTGACGCCGGCCAGCGGGCTTCCGAGACCCCGGCACTCTGACAACCGCGGGGTCGAATCTGTCAGCCCGAAGGGGCGCGCTCCATGGACCGTATCCACCTCCCTCACAGACCCCTTCATGCTACTCCCTGCCCGCTCCACCTTTCCTTAAAGAGGGCTGGTGTCAGGCGAGAAGGATATCTCAGAAGATTTCTGCTTATGAAATTCTTTGAATGACATGGAGTCATAAAACTATCACTGTTTTTGTGTAAGAAGCGAAAAACCACTGAAGAAATAAAGTCGTGAAGAGGACGAAATGATTCAGACAACTTTTGGAAATGTGGAAAACATCCCCAGGTGTTTCAATTGCTGCTTCTGCATGGGAGATGCCTTGTGGAGCACCAGATAATCCACAGGATACTGAACTTCAAGCTCGTAACAGTTCCCACTATGAATATGTTTTGTCTGAATTTTTATTTATGTTTCTAAAAAACTTTTATGTTAGCAAATGCCCAGCATAAACAAAAATGAAGAGCACAATAAACCCTCAGTTTGATCAGGCACCTTCATGCGTGACTACTCATGGCCCGTCTTGATCCCTTGGCATTTCCCACTTTCCCCACGCACCAAAGACGTGAGGTGAATCCCAGGTGTCGCGATACTCTATATTTAATATTTCAGTACATATTTCTAAAAGACAAGAAACTGGTCTGGATTCTAAATGAACCTTTCATTTTAAAATACCTTTATATTTATAGAAAAATAAGGTAATGAAGACTTCCTCTGTGACTCAAACCATGCCCCCTATTAGAATCATACTACTTTAGTGTATTAAAGAGCCAACATCTCTAGGTTGTTGTTAAATAATTCCATATCTTGTCTGGCTTCCTTTCCACTTAGTCCCAGCAGCCTGTCAAGTATCCCACACCCCAGTTAGTCCGCATGTTTCTTAAGGTTCCTCTTGGCTTGATGATTTTTCAAACCTTCCTTAATTTGAAGAATGGAACAGAACGAGGGCACATGGAACCAGTAAGGAACTTCGTAGACTATCTCCTAACTGGGATTAATGTAATATTTTTGTCATAATTAGCCTGGGGTTGTGAATGTTTTGGTGGGACAGTGCAGAAGTCGTCATTCCATTACACCATTTAAGGTACATCCTACCAGCAAAACATTATCACATTGACTGACCATCTGACTGAGAGGGCTTTATGTGGCATTTTCACATTATCTTTCTTCAGCTTTCTACACTGTATTCTTTGGCAGGAAGTCTTTGGAACAGCCCACATTTAAGAAGTAGAAACTGACAAGCTACCTCCTACAGGTTCTAATATCTTAAATTACTGGGAATTCTGCATGGAAATGTTTATTCTTCCTCATTTTTACAATTATTGAATCATTTATCTATTGCAGTACAGACACATGAATGCGTTAAAACTTCATCAAGAAGTTTTTAAAATTTCCTCCAATAGTCCCTGTTTATGACTCATGCATTATTTCATTTACACGCTTTAAAGCTATGTGTAGTTTATATTCATTCACTCCCAT